TGCTTGTAGTATTTTGTTTTTCTGTTGGATTTCTGGGATCTTGATTATTATATGTCTAGGCATAGTTCTTTTTGATCGTGGCTAGTTGGAGTTCTATATGCCTCACTTATCTGTATGTCTAATTCTTCCCTTCTGTTTGGGAAGTTTTCTGTCATTAATTCTGTGAATAGCTTTTTTAAGTCACTTTTGTTTTCTTCTGTTATTTCATGGATTCCTATCAGTCTTACATTATTCTTCTTTGCATCCCCTAGAAGTTGTTGGATCGATTTCTCATGTTCCCTTACTGTTTTTGAGAGATCTCTTTTTTTTACGCTCACTGCGATCCTATCTTCTATATCTGAAATTCTATCTTCGCAATCTTTTATTCTGTTGCGTACAGTTTCAATAGAGTTTTTAATCTCCTGGATATCTGTTTGAATCTGTTTTATGGATTCCATTTCATTCCTCTGTTGGGCATTCATTGTTTCTATTTCTTATGCTGAGTCTTCATGGCTTCTATCATGGTCTTGAGCTCATCTATTTTTTGTAGTTTCTGTTCTAGAGTCTTGAATCATGACTTCAATTTTGCTCATCATCTCTATGGTTAACTGGGAAATTATTTTTTATTTGAATTTTTCTAGAACCTGATTGATCTGTTTTGTTACCTCCTGTGCTATGGGTCCAGGGTGTCCTGCTGGTTTACCATCAGACTTTTCATCCTCATTTGTCCTACTGTTTGCCATTGGTGAACTGGAAGTGTGTCTTTGTGTCTTGCTAAAGTGTATTCTCATTTTTATTTTTGTTGTTGGGTTGTCCTTGGTTTAATTTCTGGGTTATTACTTAAATCTTCCTGATATAGTTGCATTTTAGCTTTTGAGTCTCTAATGACTCATAGACATCCTCATTTTCATAATATAGGAGAAAACAGCTCATTAAATCAATCACAATCCTTTATCCCAATTGATACATTCAGCAGCCCAATGGGATCAAGCACAGATTGCAAATTGACCACTTGTGGTAGTCATTAATCTATCACCTTTAAACCATGTGAATTAAATTAATATCAAGAAGCAGCCCAAAATATGTTTGCAGTGAATACACTTTTCAATATAGCATTTTACCATTTAGGATTGGGGGTTAGACTGAGTTAGGACAAGAGGAGTAGATAAATGAAAGAATTGGAGAAGGTTTGAAGTGAAGCCAGAGGACGTAGAATGACCATACTATCTTTATGAAAGTATTAACTTGAAATGTGATAGACAGAGTGCAGGAATAAGGACAAGAATATATCCCCTTAACAGTAACAGGGGCTTGCCTTCCCTTAAAGCTGTGGAGCCATGAGTAAGGTAAAATGGCAGGAGAAAAGAACATAAAGAAAAAATAATAAAAGAAGAAGTCTTGAGTTAGGGCAGGAGCAGGAATAAAAAGGGAGATGAGGGATAATATGGTGGAGCAATAGACTGAGTTGGAGAGAGAGGACAGGAAAAAGAAAAAATTTTAGGGTGGAATGAGGAAAAGAAAAAAGGAATTTGAAGGCCTCTTTTAGGCTATGTCTCTGTTGTCATATTATACCACTTGTACAGCCATATGCAGAACCGAATCCCCTAATCTTGGCTAGCCAATGGCAGGTCCCCACGACTCAGACTGACCTCAGTACACAGTGCCTAACTTGAGTTTCCCAACCCTCAGGGTTGAACTCCGCTCAGTTCTATTACAGGTTTCCCCTGCCCTTTCTTTAAAGATGTTCAAAGTTGGGAGCTCAGAAAACTACCTACCCTTCATGAGCACCTATGCCTCTGCACAGTGAGTCCAAGAACTGGCCCAATCAGGAGGTTTGAGAACGGGGATGGGGAGACAGGTTGTGGGGGTGTTTCAAGGGCACCTGTGTGGCTACTTTCCTTACTGGATCTGGTGGCGTGCAGTTGGGGAGGTTGTGCATCCACTGGGTGGGCCCAAGCAGGCGGCTGGAGAGACCTTCTCTGGAATCCTTGCTTCCTTACTGGATCTGGTGGTGCGCAATTGGGGAGGTCGCAGACCCGCCCGGTGGGCCCGAGAAGGTGGCTGGAGAGACCTTCTCTGGGGTCCTTGCTTCCTTACTGGATCTTGAAAGCCAGTTTTTCCAACACAATTTTTAAAAAAATGCTATCTTTCCTCCATTGAGGATGGTTGGCTCCTTTGTCAGAGGTAGCTGAGTATATCTTGAATTGTTTCTGCATCTTCTAATCTATTCCATTGATCCTTCGGTCTGTTTCTTTGCTAGTACCATGCTGTTTCTATCACAGTGGCTTTGTAGTATAGTTTCAAGTCACAGATTCTGAATACTCCCCATTTGTAGCCTAGAATTGCTTTTGTTATTCTAGGTCTCTTCTGATTCCAAATGAATTTTTGGATTGTTTTCTCAAGTTCTGTGAAATATTCTCTTGGGATTTCAATCTGGATTGTACTGAATCTATATAGCAGTTTTGTAAGTATGGCCATTTTCACTATGTTGATTCTTCCTACCCAGGAACAATGATGTCTGTACATTTTCTTATATCCTCTTCTATCTCTTTTGCAGAGTGCTGTAGTTCTCAATGTAGAGGTCTTTTGCTTCCTTCATTAGATTGATTCCTAGATATTTCATTTTTTTGGATGCTATTGTGAAAGGAATTGTTTCCCTAATTTTTCTTTTCAGTGAATCTGTTATTTGTGTACAAGAAAGCTATTGATTTTTGGGTGTTGACCTTGTATCCAGCTATTCTACTTAATCTGTCAATGAAGTATAGAAGTCTTTTGGCAGAGTTCTTTGGGTCTTCTCTGTAGAGTTTCATATCAGCAAATAATGACAGTTTAACTTCTTCTTTTCCTATCTTTATTCCTTTTATTTCTTTCTTTTGTCTAATTGCTGTGGCTAATGTTTCTAGAATTATATTGAACAAGGGTGGTGACATGGACATCCTTGTCTTATTCCTGATTTTAGTATGAAAGTTTTCAGTTTTTTACCATTTAGTATGATGTTGGCTGTTGGTTTTTCATAGATAGCCTTTATCAGGTTGAGAGAAAGACCATCTGTTCCAATTTTCTGTAGGGTTTTTTTTTATCATGAATGGATGTTGAATTTTTTCTGATGCTTTTTCTGCATCTATCAAGGTGATCATGTAGTTTTTGTCCTTGACTCTGTTAATATAGTGTATTACATTTATTGATTTACATTTGTTGAACCATCCTTGCATAAGCTGTTATATATACCTGTCAGAAAGGCCAATATAGAAATGGTGACAACACCAAATGCTGATGAAAATTTATAAAAACTAGATTATTCATATATTTCCTATACACATTAGGAATGTACAGCTGCTCTGGAACATGATATATTGAATTTTTTAAAGAAACAAAAAGTGAACTTACATATGAACCTGCAATGGAACCCTTGGGCATTTATCCCAGGAGTGAAAATTTATTTTCATACTAATATATGTATACAAATGTTCCTAGCAGATTATTTCATAATAGACAAATGAGAAACAATCTGGATGTTCTGTAAAAAGCTAGTAGTTACACAGTCTGACACATCATCACTGTGGAGTATGAATACATGGAATATGATTGATCTCATAACAGTTGTTCTGAGTGAAAAAAGTTCTATATCAGAAGGTTAGGCATTGTATGATTCTATTCATAAACTTTCTGAAATAACTAGAAACAGCAGCTTGCTCACTGTTGGGATAGGAATTTGGGTGTGTCTTAGGGGAAAGCATTAGGGAATCTTGTGGCACACCAGCCCTGCTTTTTGCTACAGTTATGGTTGTGGCTGCAGCTGCATGGGTCTTCGTGAGTATATCAGAGCTCAGAGCCTTATACATGTTCTTGACTGCCTGGAAAACTGGTGCTATCTGAACAAGCCCTGTGCAGTGTACCAGGGAGGTTTCCTGGTTTTTATATTATACCATAATTATGCAGGTATCAGTGGGGAGAGTAGGGTGAAAGAAACTAGCACTTTGCTGTCTATTATAAAATAAAGTTTTTAAAAGGGCTTAAGTATAGTTTTAAATCATTATAATAATAAAGGGATGCCTACCTTCTAAAAATTCTGTATATTTTTGGGTTATAATCGACAGTATACCACATAAAATCCACAGGGTCTTGCAGTGCTGGAGCACTGGCATATGTCCTACCCAGACGATTACCCTCTTTGGAGGCCCACAGTGTCAGACTGGTCTAAGGGTTTGTCAGTACTGCCGGTCTCTGGCCTCATCTCATTGTGGACTGCTCTCCACTCAGGGTGTGGTGGAATCTACTATCAGCTGACTGTGGCTCTCTCTCCGTTCAAGTTGACAGGCCATGGATATAAAAAGCATTTCTGCTACTCTTTTGGCCAGAGAGGGCCTTCTGTGCTTTTCCAGAATTATGTAGCTGCTTTCAGTTTTCCTTCTGGATAACACAAAGAAGGGACCCATTTGTTGTTATTTCTTTTTTTTTTCAGCTTTAATTGAGTTTATTGGTACATTTTAGGGATACAGTACAGTTACATTCATTGTTGGGATCTTGTACCTCTACATGACAAGTCTTGATTCTCATTTTTTCCCCTTACCCCTGCCCTCCCTTCACCCCCTCCTCCCTTCCCCATCTACAAACACTTTATTTTCATCTTTTCATTATCTCACATTTTTTTCTTTTCCCTTATTACCCTTCCCCTACCCATCCCACCTTCCCTACACCTTTAGCTCCTTTCTTCCCATTTCTAAATGTTAGTAATCTTATTAGGATCTTGTTGTTATTTCTTTTAGAGAGCATTTTTGTTTTTTATTGGAGAGCATTTCTTACTGTAAATGATTGATCCTTACATTCTCCTGAAAACGTTTTAAAACAAACCTTACTTACCTATTGGACTAGGTTTTTAAAAAACACATTTTCTTGTTTCAGGCAGTGAGACTTTTCTGACATCTGTGTTACTGGATAGAGATATGGAATATTTTAGCAACCTATGGGTTTTCATCTTTCCCTTATGTGGATAATACAAAATTATTGTCATCTTGTTACAGTTTGACATCATGAATATAGTGACACAAATGAGAGAGCAACGTTATGGCATGATTCAAACAAAGGTAAGCTTTCCCCACACGAATTCTATAATAGGGAGACGGATTGGTAACACTTTACACTTTAAAAGCTCTGTTACCTACATGGTCTTACTGAAGCCTTGTTGTTTTGAGGTAGCATCAGTGGAGGTAGTTTGCTTTGGTGTTATTTATCATGTATCCTCCTGGTTCAGACCAATGAAGTCAGCTCCTTTAGGACTACTCATCATGGGGCAGTGTCACACTGAGGTCACAGGCCTACTGGATAAAGCCATGTATCAAAGTAACATATTTAAAGTTTAAAAAGTAAATTTATTGATAGCAACTTGTGATATATAGTTGCCACTAAAATTGAGGCTATTGGCATGTTATAAAAAGATAGTGCTTATGTTATAGACAATCACTGGGAAGGGTGATCAAGAGACTATAATAACCACTAAATATATCACACACACACACACACACACACATATACATATGTATACACATATATACATATATATGCACACTCATATACACACACATATGTGAAACATTAAGATTAATGAAAAGAAATTTTAAGAAATTTATTTAGATTATGCAGCTACAACATAAAACTGAGATTGACAGGTGCTTTATTGAAGACCCCTTCAGCTGATCCTGGGATGACCGATGCTTGAGCAAGCAAAGGCTCTGAGCATTCAAGACCATTGATATTTATTGGTGACACAATCATAGTTAAATTGAAGTAAGGGGGCTAATGTGGTTGCTAGGAATATGTTGCTGACACAGGCAAGGCTTGTAGGAGAAGAGACAAAGCATTCTGTTAGGCTCAGAATGGAATTTGGGTAAGAGTTACTGTGATCTTTCCTGTGTATTATTTCATATGCTTTGGTCAGACTTCTTAATAAGCCAATTGCAGGGTTAACTCTTCACAGCTTGCACTGCCTTCAGCCTGCTTTGGGCATAATCAATAGGACGGTCCCCCACAGTGCTTCTCAGTTTAGTTAAGCCTTCAGTTAACTATACTATGATTATTTATCACTCTTATATTTTAAAAATATATGCATATACAACAGTTCTCCATAAGTGTTTGTAGTCAAGTGTTTGTTCTTTTTTGGAAACTTTCCCACATGGCTGAAAAATTACAGATGTATTCTCTGAAAGTAGATATTGGTTTTCAGTTACCTATCATTGTGTTATTTTTCATGTATATGCTTACAGGAGCAGTATCACTTTACCTATGAAATTGTCCTCAGAGTCCTTAGGAAACTTCTGGCTATGGAATAGAAAAGAGTTCCATTGTCTCCCATTGTAATTGCCAAGTGGCTTGGAGTTTGAGAAGTACTAAGGAATTTGGGTCTGATTACAGTCTGCTTTCTTGTATATCAATTAATTTTCTTTCTAAGATCTCTCCAAAGGCAGCATCATTCAGTGTGGGGTGAACAATGCTGACTCTTGATCTTTCTAGACAATAGCATAATACTCCCCCATGTTTTTCAGTGGAACAAAGGTTACATAAAACAGTGACACCTTGGCTATTTGGTTGAAGGGATTACAGAGCTCAGTAAAAGACTTAAACTATGCCTGTTAAGGTTTTGTTTGGGAAGGTGGCCAAAGGAAGCTGAGCACTTCCAGACCTTTTTACACCCTTATTCTGAGCAAACATAGGACCAATAAATGGCAACTTCATATCTTGACCTCCTCACGGCATTTGTTTGTTTGTTTGTTTGCTTTTTTGGAACTGGGGATTGAACTCGGGTCCTTGTGCTTGCAAGGCAGGCCACCGAACCGCTGAGCTAAATCCCCGGCCCCTCACAGGCATTTTTAAGACAGATGTTTATCCATGTTCTTTAGCTAGAGTCTGTGCACCCATCTGGTATTTGAATAACTCAACCTAAAAGAAATCCAATTAGTATGGATTAACTTGTGAAATAAATTGGCTTCTATTTCCTGAGTTTCCATGGAGCCCCAGGAACCTCCAAGGAGTATCTGCTTTCCTAGAAGCAGCCATACAAGCCCCCATGGCTCTGGGGAACATCTCATAGGTGGGCAGTGTTCCTTATCTCCATCACATGGGCACCCTGGTGCACAGTTCAGAACTAAAATAGTTGTTTATGGAGAAAGTCCAAGAGGAAATGTTTGCCTGGCTGACTTCTTTCCTATCCCACCCTAACACTTAACATATTACTCAGTCTGCTTTGTTAAAAGCAAATATTACATTTTATTTGCCTCTTCCTCTTTAGCTAACCAATATACTTTGATATAAGCATTGTTATGTAATTCTGAGTCATTTGTGGTATCTCTTACACCAGATGTGTTTTTCAAGCAAAGATCTATGATAGTTCTCCCCTTCTTTCCTTCCCCAAGTACCATTAAATCATTTCTTTCCACTGCTGCTCCACCTCTGCTGAAAACATTTGGATGTTGGAGCTGAAACCCATATTTTGGAAAACCAAGTTCATAGTTTTGAAAATGAAAATTTTCATTCACTAGTTTTGAAAAGATAAAAGATTCTGATCTGGGCCTTATTACATTCATCCTATTAAAGGACTTGTTTTATAGAACTATAATGATATTTTGATTAAGACCCAGATAAATAAGCTACAAAGCTATTCATATATGTCTTTGTACAATATGATTCAGTAGAGAACAGAATATTTTATATATTGAGAAAATTACTAATAGTAATCTATCAATCTTAAATTTTTAAAGAAGCTTATTTTATTCCTTTGGCTAAATAGATACTTCAATTGGTTGGGTTAAAATTGATAATTCTCATTTTAAAATAATTATATACTGGAAACATTTGATATTAAATTAGATTGATGATTCTAGCCATTTATGCTGTTCATAGCTGGGGATGATGGCAGTAGTCTGTAATCCCAGCACTCAGAAGGATGATGTAGGAGGATCACAAGTTTGAGATCAGTCTGGGCTACAGTGAAGTGAGACCCCTGTCACAAAGAAAACCAACCAAACAATAACTGTTTATATAAATAATAGTCTCTGTTAAATATTAATTTGATTTTGGTGATTGGCCTTTAATATTTATATCTGTAATTCAGTTTTTTCTTATGTTACTTTATAATGTATATAATTATCTGAGTATAATATATAATAATTATCTGAGAACGTTAAATGAAACTACTATGTATTGTCTGAATTATTTTTGTTTATCAGGGCCTTGGAATGTTGCAAAGAAAAATTTTTCAGTTCTTGTGGTTAAACATGTTCCTCCTTTATGGTATGCCTTGTATTTTTATAGCTCAATGATTTTTAATTTTCTTTTTTAAATATTATTAAGTTTATTGGTACTTTTAAAGTATATAGTACAGTTACATTCATCATTGGGATCTTGTACCCTTACATGACAGATCTTAGTTCTCATTTCTTCCCCATATCCCTAATTTTCTAGTGAAATAAGTAAATTTGGAAATCCTGGTTGTATTTATTTTCATATTATTCATCAAAGATGAATTTCAAATTGAAAACTCCTGATTGAAATGCTATGTTTTATACCAATAACCATTTATGGTATAGGATATGAATATAAAACTCATTGATACTTTTGTATGTAAAAGCTAATTTAAAATATTTCAAAATATTTATATATAAGTATGTATACATTTACTTTCTTTCAACTTGCCAAAGAGAAATAGAGACTAAGGGAAACACACAGGAGGTACACAGCCCTGAGGCCTAGTCTATCTCCCTCTCCACTGTTCAGAGGCCAAATGGATACCCAGAATTTCAGTTTATTCACAACCAGTTCTAGCTATAGGCTATTAAAAATGTGTAAGATACACATTTTGTTTTTTTGGTACTGAGTATCAAACTCGGTACCTTGCGCTTGTGAGGCAGGCAGCAAAACCACTGAGCTAAATCCCTGACCCGTAGAGATACATATTTTTAATGATGCTTAGGTTTTAGACCAAAATGTTTTAGAAATAAAATTATAGATTTTATTTTCATATTAGTTTAAATGATTTATTTTTCTTTGGACATTTTAGCCCTAATCTTCCTAGAATATTATAGAATTTTCAAAAAGTTTACATTCACTACTCGAGGGATTTCAGTGATTTATTTTTATTTTTTAAAATCTCAAAGAAAAGCTCTACAACCAAAAGTTTCATTTCCTACTTAATTTCTTCTAATTCCTTGGAAGAATTAATTTCTTCCAGGTTGCCTTGAGTAATTGGACCAGAAGATTGGGAAAGTGCCTGTCAGACAGGTCAGTGGAATTCAGGGGTGCTATGAAGTATTGGGGGAGCACTTCGTTGGACTACTGCTATAATTTGAAAGCAGTAGTAATGACCCCATGATGAAACAATTAGAGTTGGAAGAGATTTTAAAAGACGTCTAATACAACCATCGTAGCTGAGGCTTGAATACGATAAAGAACATGTTTTAGAGACCAATAGCAACATCAGGTTTGAGAGCAGAAAAAAAGAACCTTCCTATGAACAAAATACAAAAACCTTTGTTGGCATTATCACTGAGGGTTGCTCCAGAGTTACTGGGCCACTGCAGAAGGTCTACAAAAGAGGAATAATTGCTGTAAATATTACAAAGTCGGGATACCATCTTTTGCTTGTTAATTTTCCCACATAAAAATAGTGGTATTCTACTTAAATATACTATGAGAAAATTAATTTTGAAATCAAAATATAAGATAGCTACTATAAAAAATGAATCTTCCCTCCCATTGTTTTGTCTTTATGTATAGTCAGCATATTGTGGTCCACAAGCCAGATACGTGATATTGGCAGTGGCTGAGGCAGTTGTGTCATCTGAGATCATAAAGTCTTAAATATGTATCACCTGGCCCATTGGAAAATTTGCCAGCCCCATTCTTTATGTTCAGTAGAAAAACTGAGAAATAGGGATATATGAAATATGACAAAAATGTTATATAAAATAAGATTAAATGTAAGAGTTGACCAATTGATGTTCACATTCTAGATGAACAGTAAAGACATAAAAAAGGTATTTTTAACAAAGAAAAGATAAAATATTATAACCATGGACACACATTTCATCTCCTATTATGACGTTTCTTAAGCCAGAATCTGAAGCAAGACAATTGCACAGCTCCGTTGAAAGGTGGTGTTCATGATTTGTGTATGACTTACACACGCTTTAAAACACACCTTCTCTCAACCGTACTTCACAATCAACTGACTACTAAATGAGTTGAAAATTGTCACACAATGTTACTAAGCTTCAGTGTGTCACTTTTTTTTTCATTAAGTTTATTGGTACATTTTAAGTGTACAAATGATGACATTCATCATTGGGAATTTGTACCTTTACACTATATATCTTGGTTCTTATTTTTTCCCCATTCCTCTGTCCTCCCTTCAACCCTTCCACCCTTCCCTATTTACAAAGACTTTGTTTCCATGTTTTCCTTTTCTCATATTTTTTCCTTTCCCTTCTTTCCTTTCCCCTACCCGTCCCATTTCCTCCTCCCCTTTAGACCTTTTCTTTCTGTTTCACATAATCTATTTTACATTTTGATTCTTATTTACACTTTCATTTTTTCACACCAGAAAAACTATTCAGTGTGTTGCTGCTTGCATCAAGGGTCTGTGCGCTTTCATTGGATGGCCCTAGGCAGCAGCATTCACTACATATATCACACCACATATAGATGATAACAGAAGTTTTAAAGAAGAAAACCAAAGCAAGGATTTGTAACTAATGGTAATTCAAAAGCAATTTTGAATAATAATTCAAAGAATATTCCTGAAAACAAAAAGATTTAAGATTCATACTGAAATATAGTATTGTTACTATCACGTGACTATGACCAATACCAGTGAATTTTCTAGTACAGTTAATGAAATTTGAACTAAAAACCTTTTAGGCATTTATTCAAAAAGAGTATGAGGGAATAATTAGGTTATTATCCAGCTTTTAGAAGCAAATCTTTATTATAAAGATAAAGCAGGACAATATATTTAATATTTTCAAAGGAAGATTTTATGAGCCAATAATTTTGTATTTGGCAAAACTGACTGTAGTATACAAAGGGTGCCAAGTGTAGAGCTCAGAGAATACTGTTCCCAAGAGCACTTCCTATGAACCTCTCAACAGATGCAGAAAAAATGTCTAATCCAGTGAGATACTAAGTCTTGGTTTAAAAAGAACAAAAGTCTTAGCAAACTAAAGATAGAAGGGAACAACACCTTAATTTGTCAGAGGTTATGTGCAGCACACCCACAGAAGGCCTTCAGGTCACAGACAAACACTGCTCCTTTCCACCAAGGAAATGCCATCTTGCTTTTGTCTTCTGAAAATGGTTGGGACTGGAATTTAGTCCTCCCTGTCCAGGCTTGGAGATGACCAATTCAAGCCAAGCAAAGGATTAAGTGTCCCTGTATACCAAAGAACACATCTTCCCCACTGGTGACAACTTGACTTCTTTGTAGATTTGGTGAAATCCACCCCATAGAGTACCTTTAACATTCTCTGTCAGGAGCTTTTCTGCTCAGGACCACCCTCAGAGATGTTAGCCAAGAAACTGTTACTCTACTAGAGCAACTGTATTAAAAATGTCATAGAAGAGGCCAAACACAAAAGTGTATGTTGGCAGCATTTCATGCTCCAAGACAACCAGTCTCCAGGGGAGAAAGCACACACACTTAACTGGTGCTCAAGTGCTTGTTTACCCAGAGTTTAACCTACAGGAAGCAGATA